CTTAAAGGATCGAGTGTCTGGATTTAGTAGAATGTAATATATATATATATATATATATATATATATATATATATATAGGTTTTGCATATCACCCATATATTGTCTCGTAATAGACTCAGTGGAGAATATTTCCTAGGCTACTATTAATTCAGTGCAACTTCCTATACGCTGCTAACCATGAGTTCTGAATGCATTTTATCATGCAATATATGACCATACTATTTCCTAAGTAATTAGTATTTTTATGTTGTTTAAGTAAACATTTAATTCTGGTGCACCCAAAGCAATGTTTGTACTAGTGACCATACACAGTTTTAGTAGAATGGAGGCATGGTCATTATTTTGTTGTGCGACAATTATTCCTCATTGTAAATTACCACTATCTTGTGAAACTTCTCAGCACTCTAGTTAGATGTATTGTACTAATATACTTTGGTCTGGCTTGAAGAGCGTTTTGCTTCAGATATGTTCTTTTAGCAAGTTTTCGTGTATCTCTATATTCTGTTGGAACTTTGTATTGTTGCTCATAGCTATTGGGCTTCAAATATATTTTCTAGCAGGAACTTCTAATCATGATTTTTAAGGAATTATTAATATAAAATATGGACTGCAGGCCTTTAAAACTGGGATACTGGCTTTTTGGTGTTCGAGTGGCTTTAAGATTATTGAAGAAATTTTCTGAGACTCCTTCAGTTTTGTTGAAATTATCATCCCATTAATATTTTTCATTATTGTTTGTTCATTCAGGTACTACCCATACCATTATGCTCCTTTTGCTTCTGATCTTAAAGATCTAGCTGATCTGGAGATAACTTTTTTTTTGGGAGAACCATTTAAGCCATTTGATCAACTAATGGGGACCCTACCTGCATCAAGGTTTCTTCTTCTTTCCTGTCTTTAGATCTATCATATCATGCATCCTGTGCTGATGCTTATTAAGTTCTTGTTCCACAGTTCAAGTGCACTGCCTGAAAAATACAGGGATTTGATGACTGATCCTTCATCACCTATTCTTGAATTCTACCCTGCTGGTGAGATCACCTGATTGTTATTGACTTATTCTGCCATATCTCAGTTTCTAGAGTTACTTGTTTTGCTTTTTTGACAGATTTTTCTTTTTTGGACAGATTTTGAGATTGATATGAATGGCAAAAAATATGCATGGCAGGTAATATAATGGTCTCTGTGACTTAATTTTTTTTATTAATATGAATGCTTTATAATAAAGTGGGGGTTAAGTTTACTGTTGCATTTTTTTTCAGGGCGTTGCCAAGTTGCCATTCATTGATGAGAAAAAATTGCTCTCTGCCACAAGCAAGCTTGAAGGAACATTAACGGTCTGGAATTGTTTTCTTTTACTTTCCTAGTCTATTTCATTTGTGACCAACTGTAAAAGATTATTGATCCAAAATTGTTGGACTTGAAATTGGATCAAAGAATAAATAATCTAAGAAGTCGATTGTTAAATGATAAGCCTATGTTAGTACTGTTTCTTTTGCACAATTATCCCTGACATTTTGCTGTGCATTTTCTGGAATCTGTTGGTTCGAGCTGGAGTACTTTTAACTATATAATTTTTAGTCCTGAACTTTACAACTGTTAATTTGAATCATAGTTTTGCATCTGGGTGCTTAATTTCATTCAAATTTTTTATGTGCAGGTGGAGGAACAGCTCCGAAATAGTAAGATGCTTGATTTGCTTTATGTCAACAGAGCGCATAATTTGGCTCCATATATCTTATCGTACTACCAATATTCTTGTCAATTCTCTCTGCATGACAGACCTGCTGTACCTATTGATCCAAGTGCTAGGTTAGTGAATATGGTTTGGTAATAGTCACCAGTCAAAATCATAAATATGTTTGCTAATTGTCTTGGAATCTTTGATAGCAGTCATGGTATGAATGGATACCTCTGGTTGTATGAAAGAAATGTGCTCAGAACCGTTGTATCCTCTCCCATCAAGGGATTGCAAGACATTGAGTACAATCAAGTTTTGTAAGTTTATTCTTTTACACTTTCCTGATATTTTAAAATCAGTGTATGAACTCATGTTGAGTGTTTCAAATTTCAGAAATATTACCTATCTTAATCCTCGTAAACATAAACATATTCCAAGACCTCCAAATGGTGTACAAATGCCAAAAAAGGTTGGTATTTTGACCTCTCTTAGACATGAAGTGATGAGACAAATATTATATTTTTGTTTAGTTTCTTCAAGATCTATGTATAGATCTCATTTACTTTGACATTGGTTATGTTTGCAGATATTAAAAGCCATTGATATTAAACCTTTTCCTGTGTTATGGCACGAAGAAAATAGTGGTCGGCGTCATGGCAGAGACAGGTTAGAATCTATTCCTGAGTTGTAACTAGATTGTTGTAGTATAATTTTATATATTATTTATGTATGGATAAATAAACCCCCGCTGCTGGTGACATTTAAAGTTCAATGCGGTTGTGGCACTGTATTCCACCGTATGTGGACAATTTTTTTTTAGGAAACTATCAATATTTACTTTAAGCAATTGTCTTAGGGAGAAATAGAAAATTCCATATTGAGTGGGTTGATAAGTTCTCAGTAAAATCCAGCACATGAAGTTTTTCTTGCATTAAATATGGTCTTTGAGCGAGTGATAAGACAGATTTGTTAGAGCTCTTACCTTTCTTGTATGATGCATGCGACAGACCACAACTACACGGAGCAATGGCTGGGCCTCAACTGGGAGAAGCAGCACATCGTCTTGTGAAGAACACCCTTAATATTAAACCAAATAACGCAACATACGGATTCCCAGAGCAGCTTCCAGGCCATCATGCAATGAACAGGGTGCTTAGATCACCAGGACCCTCTGGACCTGGTAAATATTATGCCGAGGACACAAGTGGTTATTACGGACATCATTACAATCACCAGGGCATGATGCCTAGACCTAGATATCCAGTCTCATCCAATGGTGGACATAATGACAAACAGAATTTTAGGATACAGGATAGGTCACAGCATCATGAACAGAATTACTACAACGGGAGAACTGGGTTCCATACTTTTACAGTGGAGGAAGGCCCAAGACCAAGGCCATATGCAGTGCCTCCACCAAAGACACCTGTGGTGATGTTATCAAGGCCACCCAATTCAGGACCAACAACTAATCTGCAACAGCAATTTGTGGGTCCTCCTATACCACCTCCAAACTGGATTACTAGAGCACCTGATACGAACGGAATATATGCTAGGCATCAAGAAGTTGCAATTGGGGGAGCTTACGATAATAAGCACATGAAGAAGGTGTACCAAGTTAGAAGTCGGCAACCCCAAGATATGCCAGAGTACGGGAATCAATAGTGATTGTTGTGGAGTTTACTTGCTTTGTCACCGAAGTGCCCTCTTCCATTCCATGGGCTGTTCCTCAAATTGCTGCTCATCCGTTCCAGAGTACGGAAATCATTTGCCATCGAAATGCAATGCAATAGGCTGACAAATGCTTATCAAAGCTTTGGATAGCACTTAAATAATCTTCTGCTGTGAAGTTGCTGCAGCCTGCAAAGAATCGGTTCTGGCTTCACTAGACATGGGCACTTGGAAAGGTGGGAGTGCTATATATATTCACAATATTCTTGTTTTTCAAGTTCTAAACAAATACTAAATTATTGTATAAACTTGTAATTGCTATGTGTAGGGTAGCATGTATAAATCCCGCTGCGCTCAGTGGCGCTTGTATTATCATGTACCACATCCAACTTTAATAGACAATCGTAAATTTGTAGTTGAAAAGTAAGATCTGTTTGATTATATATATTTTTTTCCAAAATTAAAGAGTTAAAATGGGTACACTGTAAAATGTGTCAATCAATTATAAATAATTGTTGATATGATTTAGAGCTTAACTGTTGTAAAAGTTGGAAGATTCACGAGTTATGATGATTTATGATTGGATTAGAGTGTAAACTAATTTTATATTATTCTGAGTCTTATCTTTATTTCGGTGAAGTTAATAGACGATAGTCTGATTGGATTGTTTTTACACCAACACTGAAGAAGGAATTTGGTCGACCTAGTTTTGATTTAGATCATTTCGTTTTATTATTAAAAATGGATGTTTTGTATAAAAATGAATATTAAAATTTTACATGTATACACACTCTGGTTATTTTGTTCAAATTAAATTAGAGATTAGTCTTGATCTTTTCTTTTAAAAACATCAATTTAGGATATCTCATGTATTAGTGCTTTTTCACATACATATCTTAGATTATGAAGGGTTTTCCTTAGTTCAGTACATGATAAGTAGAATACATAAACGTGCTTTTTTAAAAGTGTAACTTCGTATTTTTAGAAAAAAGCATTTCGAAAACTTTATTTTCAATATTCGAGCGTCTAAATTAAAAAAAAAATGTCTATAATGAGAACGATTTAAAGAATGGAAATTAATAAAATATTTGAAAAAGTAAATATTATCAGTGATTGTATCCGATAAATCAGTTCATCTCTAGGACTCAACTTTTAGATTTATTTTAACACAATTATTTCAAATGCATCTGAATTTATGTTGTTCTAGTAGTAACCATTCTCTGATCGTGATGTGGACTCGGAAGCACAAGATTTGCTGGCCCTTTCCAGTGTCTCATATAAGAAGATGTATGAATAAAAAACATTGAGAACAATTATTTATAATTGCCTAGAATTATTATTAAATTGAAACGATGATCCACTGCAAATTAATCAACCCAAAAAAAAATTATGATGCTTGATATATCACTAAAAAAAACTGCAAGTACCCATAAAATTACAAGAAGTAAAGAAATTCTTTACTTCTAACAAGGAAACGCTGAGTCAGAAGTCAAATCCTAAGCTTACTCTATCATCCAAGAAGGAACTACCTTTTAAGATTATTTGACAAGAACGCGGTATTTGATTGATACAGTATTATTATACGAATTGTATAACTCATCCAAAGCAAGAAAAGCATGTGGTAGCTTGCATCCAAAACAATAGGAAAGAAAGATGAAGAGCACATTCTACATAGATACAATACATACATTCATATAACCCTTCGTCGATAAATACATATCCAATCCAACATAAACAAAAAGTTACCATAGCCGAGTTCAAGAGAAACTATTGTAGGAAATAACCACCCAAAAAGAGAGCGAAGAAGAGCAACAAAGTGCCGTATATAAGGATGGTCTTCTGACCCGAGGTCAGGGAATTTCCCCCGAGTCCGTATTGTTGGTTCTGCGCAAACCCTGCGATCTGAACGCTCTTGCTCTCGAAGAAACTCTGTGCGGCTCCGCACGTGGGACACCGCCAATCGTCTGGAAGCTTCTCGAACTGGAACCCTGGGGCAATCGGATACGAAGGATCGCCCACCGCCTCGTCGTATTTATAACCGCACGACCGGCACTCGTAGATGCCAGTGTTCAGAACCGCGAATTTCTCCTCCAGCCGCCGGGGGTCCAAGTTCTCCGCCGCCGGCTCCGGCGTTGGCGTGGACGTGGGCGTGGTGTCTTCCTTTGAGACGTCGATGGAGTTGACGGTGAGATTTCGGGGTTTGGCAAAGAGAGAAGGAAGAGAATGAGGTTTGAATTTGGGTTTGGGTTTGAGAGAGAAGGTTGAGAAGTTGAGAGAGAAAGGTGACGGTGGAGTAAAGCTAGCCATTGTTAGTTGAAAGATAGAGCCAGCCGTGAGTGACGGTTGGTTCTTCTGTGGAGGAGAAGACGAGAATAACCATAGTATATGCCCTTCCTCTTGGATAAGGTATGCATTTCTTTTTTTAATTATCTTCTAATTTTTCCTTTCTTTATTATTCATTCCAATAATAATTCTCTCTCTGGGCTTCTTCTTCAGTTTCATTTGGGTCGCCTCTCTCTTTCTTCCTGCACTCCCCAATTTTCTTCTTTCACCCCCTCATTCAAGGTTAGTTTCCTGTATTTCTTAATTCTTTTCCATTTTCTGTTTTTCTCTGAAATTAGTTTCTGAAACAATTAAGACACTAAAATCGTATTTTAAATATTTAGTTTTTTTTTAATTTAAAGTATTATTTTTTTCATTTTTTTAATAATTGACAAATATAAGAGAAATCATAACAGAATGACACGTATTGCAGGCATGCAACGCACTGCACTGTACTGTGTTTTTTATTGAATGAGTAACGTGTGTATTTATACAATAGAAAAAGAGAGAGAAAAGTAAAATATCAGAGAAGCACTAGAAGCTTCCGTAACAACGGTGAGGAAAAACTAATCCAAAGACTAATTATGATTAAGACCCCCCCTCAAGCTGGGAATAAAGATTGAACATTCCCAGCTTGGTACGAAGAGTGGAAAACAGAGAAGGAGACAGAGACTTGGTGAAGATATCTGCAAGCTGCTGAGAAGAAGACACAGGTAGTAGTTTCACCAATCCAGATTGAACTTTTTTCACGGACTAAGTGGCAGTCAATGTCTATGTGTTTGGTGCGCTCATGGAACACTTGATTGGCTGCAATTTGGAGGGCAGACTGATTATCACAGTAGACAAGAGCTGGTTGCTTGAAAGAAATGTTTAAATCTGTGAGCAGATAAGTCAACCATTGAATTTCACATGTGGTGGCAGCAAGAGCACGATATTCAGCCTCTGAGGAGCTGCGAGAAACTGTAGGTTGCTTTTTAGAACGCCATGAAACAAGTGAATCTCCAAGATACACAGAAAAACCTGTAACAGAACGGCGAGTGTCGAGACAACCGGCCCAGTCAGAGTCACTAAACGCCTTCAATTGGAGAGAACTCTTAGTTGCAAAAAATAGACCGAAACCAGGGGCTTGCTTTAGATATCGTAAAATACGAAAAGCTGCTTGAGAATGTGCTGATGTAGGAGCTGACATGAATTGGCTGAGGTGATGGACAGCATAGGAGATGTCAGGGCGAGTGGTAGTTAAATAAATTAATCTCCCAAGAAGGCGACGATAGGATGAAGAATCAGGAAGCGGTGTGCCAGATAAGGTGGAAAGTTTAGCAGTGTAATCCATTGGCGTGGCAACAGGACGAGAAGCCAACATACCACAGTCTGTCAAAATGTCAAGAGTGTACTTCCGTTGAGAGAGATGAATTCCAGTGTTGTTGCGAGCAACTTCTAGACCCAAAAAATAACGAAGATTGCCAAGGTTTTTTATTTTAAAAGCATGATCAAGGAGTGCTGTAACAGATTCAATCTCAGCAATATTGTTGCCGGCAAGGACGATATCATCAACATATACAAGAATAGCTGTAGTGGAAGATTCAGAAATCTTCAAAAATAAAGAATGATCCGAAGCTGATTGTTTATATCCATGCTGAAGAAGAAAAGAAGAAAGTTTCGCAAACCACTGACGGCTGGCTTGCTTCAATCCATAAATTGATCGTTGAAGTTTACATACTTGGTTTGGGAAAGAAGAATTGATTCCCGGAGGTAGAGTCATGTAAACTTCTTCATCTAATTCACCATGAAGAAAAGCGTTATTTACATCCAGCTGTTTTAAGTGCCAATTTAAAATTGCAGCTAAAGCCAAAAGTAGTCGGACTGTAGTGAGTTTTGCCACAGGGGAGAAAGTGGCAATATAATCCAAACCTTCCATTTGAGTGTATCCCTTAGCAACAAGACGAGCTTTGTAACGTTCAATACTGCCGTCTGCATGATACTTGATTTTATAAATCCATCGGCAACCAATAACATGTTTATGAGGGGGCAAAGACGTGACAATCCAAGTATTATTCAAGGTTAAAGCCTCCAATTCAGCTTGCATGGCCTTTTTCCAGCAATCATATTTAACAGCTTCAGCATAGGAATGTGGTTCGGTGATTGTGGAAATGGAAGAAATAAATGATTGAAAATTGTTAGAAAGGTGAGAATAAGAAAGATGATCTTGAATGGGATAACGCATACCTGGATGAAGATTGGTAGTAGTTGATGTGAATGAATGATGGTAATCTTGAAGATAGGAGGGAGGATGATGAGCACGACTGGATCGCCTTAGTGGGTGTGTTGGGGAAGTTGTCTCAGCAGAAAGAGGGGAAGGAGCTGGGTTAGATGTAGTAGATGGAGAAGGAATAAAGTCAAGAGAGAGAGAAGTATTATGAAATGGAGTTGGTGAGACAGTAGGAATAGTAGAATCAGAAGGTGAAGGTTGAAGGAATGGAAAGTGATCTTCATAAAAGTATACATTGCGTGAGATGACAATGCTACGATTATGAAGATTATAGGCAAGGTATCCTTTTGTAGAGTGTGGGATGCCAAGGAAAATACAAGGATGGGCTCGTGGGTCTAATTTCTTACGATGGGCAGTAGATGTAGAAATGTAACACAAACATCCAAACACTCTCAGGTTAGAAATATCACATGTATGACCATAAAGTTTTTGAAAAGGAGTGTTATTATTGAGAAACGGTGTTGGGATAAGATTTATCAAATAAGTGGCATGCAAAAGTGCATAATTCCAAAAACATGCAGGTAAATTTGAGTGAAAAAGAAGAGCCCGAGTAACATTAAGTAAATGTTGATGTTTGCGCTCGACAATTCCATTTTGTTGAGGAGTTTCTACACATGATGTTTGATGTATGATACCTTTAGATTTGAAAAATTCATGCATAGAGAACTCAACACCATTATCTGTGCGAATGATTTGAACATGAGAATTAAATTGGTTTTCAGCAAAAGTAATGAAATTAACAAGCAGTTGGCGAGTCTCTGCTTTATTGGTCATGAGAAAAATCCATGTGAAACGTGTATGATCATCTACGATTGTGAGAAAAAATTTGTGACCATGCATGGAAGGGGTAGAGTAAGGGCCCCATATGTCCATATGCAAAAGAGAAAAAGGTTTTTGAGCATGCGAATGACTCTTTGGAAAAGGAAGTTTGCGTTGTTTTGCATAATGACAAGAATTGCAAATGAAATTTTCATTTATGGTCAAACAAGGATATATCTTCATCATAGTATGTAAACGAGTGTTTGATAAATGCCCAAGGCGAAAATGCCAAAGATCAATAGGTAAAACATTACAATCAGGATGTACTACAGTAGAATGAATTTGGGGAAAATTAAAAGTCTGAGGAACAAGCTGGTATAGACCATTCTTCACATCAACTGAACCAATCTTCATCTTGGTTTTTGTATCCTGTATGAGACAAGAGTTAGCTGTGAAAAGAATCTGATAAGATGTATTCAAGACCAATTTTGACAGAGAGATCAAATTGAATGTGAATGACGGAACATATAAAACATCAACAAGAGCAAAAGTGGAAGTGAGGTGAACTGTGCCAGCATGAGTTGCTATAACACGATGACTATTAGGAAGGTTAATAGTAATAGGAGTAATGGCATGATATGAAGTGAAAAATTGTAAGGAATTAGAAACATGGTCTGTGGCTCCTGAATCAAGGATCCAGGGAGCTGTGTGTGTTGTGCAAATTATGGATGAGATACTACCTGAAGGATGTGATGTGTGTGTAGAAGAAGAAATTGAACCAATGTGATTAACATGCGCAGAGGTGGATGCTGAAGCAGTGTGAGATGGTTGCTGAATCAAGGCCAATAAAGCTTGATATTGTTGAGGAGTAAACCGAATTTCTGAATTCTCTGAAACAGTATGTTGTTCCTTTTCAGCAACTGGTGCTTCAGTAAGTGAAACATTGTTAGCAGAAGAGAATTTGGCAGTGAAGAAGCGGTGACCAGGAGGATATCCATGCTTCTTATAGCAAACTTCAATGGTGTGACCGGTCTTTCCACAATATGAGCAAATTTTTCCACGAGTGGGGGCACTCTTACAAGCAGAATGATTTGGGAAGCCGTGTTTGCGGTAACAGGTACTTTCAGTGTGACCAGAACGTCCACAAAATGCACAAGCAGAAGCGGTGGTGGTAGGAGCATTAACAACATTTATAGAATTTTGTTTTGTCTCTGTATGAAAAATGTCAGGAATAGAATATTGTCTTTCTTGCTGGGCTACATACGAGAAGATTTTGTTGATTGGAGGTAGAGGATCCATCAACAAAACATGAGAACGAACATTAGCATACTGATCATTTAGACCACGAAGAAATTGCATAGCTTGATCTTCTAATTTTCGTTGAGCAAGGGTTGAAGACAATTTACAAGTACATTGTGCACCACAAATGCAAACCGGATCTGGCCGAAAATTTTCTAGTTCATCCCAAATGACCCTAAGCTGAGTAAAATAATCGGTGACACTGAGATCACCTTGTTTTAGAGAAGAGGCTTCTAGCTGTAGAGCTGAAATGCGAAGAAGATCACCCTGTGAGTACCGAGATTTGAGATCGCGCCAAATTTCCTCTACACAGTCCATCCAAAGGATGCTTTGCCTGATAGATGAAGAAACATAATGGACAAGCCAGGAGACCACCATGTTATTGCAACGCTTCCAAGCTCCAGAAAGACGATCAGAAGCTAATGACTGTGGAGTGCTTCCATCAATGAGCTCCACTTTATTCTTGGCACTAAGAGCGGTGAGCATAGATCTGCTCCAAGAATGGTAATTGGTTGAATCAAGTAAAGGAGAGACTAAGGGCATGGTAGGATTTTCATTGGGATGAAGATATAAAAAATGGTGAACGTTAAAAGAGGGATCAGTTGCATCACCCATGGCAGCAGAAGCAAAGAATGGTGATGGAGAAGAAGACCGTTAGGCTCTGGATACCATGACAAATATCAGAGAAATCATAACAGAATGACACGTATTGCAGGCATGCAACGCACTGCACTGTACTGTGTTTTTTATTGAATGAGTAACGTGT